CACATGCAGTCGTCTGGCCTCAAAGGGGCGCTGAGCCTGGTAGGAGCGAGGAACTTAGTGGAGGGGAGGAGAGGAGTCGCCCTGAAGGGAAGGAGTCTCCATGAGGGAAACGGGTCCAAGGCCCTGGGGATTCATACAGGCCCTGCGGCTCTTCATCCAGAGCCGTTCTGTGGAATTGGCTCGCGGGACCCGTGGCGGTCCCTGGGGGCCCGGAAACGGATATAACAAAGACACAGGACCTTCTCCTTCCGAAACTCTTTTTCCTTCATGCCAGCGGAGGCGGGAGGAGGGGAGGAAGCGAGTAGGAGAGGAGGAGGGGGGGTCAGGAGGGGAGGAGGGGAGGAGGGGGGGAGGGGGGGAGGGGGAGGAGGATGAGAGCAATGATGATGATGAGGAGGGGGAGGAGGAGGACCAGAGTGTAAACCCACGCCCCGTCAACGATGTTGCGGTCAACCTTCCGTCCAAGCTCTCTCTTCATGGGCTTCTACAACGGTTCAATTCCACGGAGGAGAGTGCCCCGTTGGAAGGCAACCGTTTAAAATCCTGAACCGTGTCAGAGCACCACTCTGGGGACTGCAACGCCACGAATCCATGTTACTGTTGCGTCTCGACGACCCTGAACCGTGCTCCTGGGACTTCATCACTGCGAAGCAGCGTGACTGCCGCGCCCTCCTGATGGTCCTACATCCTTCCCAAAAAAACACCATTCCTGCGCCGTGAACTATAAGAGGAGGAGGAGGAGGAGGAGGAGGAGGAGGAGGAGGAGGAGGAGGAGGACGAGGACTCCCTGAAGCTGCCGCGAGCTGGCGCCGAGGCGCGAGAGCTGCCCTTCTGACAGCGGGGGCCGCCCTCCACCCGCGAAGCCCGGGCGAGGTTTCGAAGAAGCTCAGGAGGGAAAGAGAAACAACACACAGACACAATTCATCGTCGATCCCCCCGAAAATATGGGAACATATGGGAAGTGGGGGGGAAGGCAAACACCCAGAACACATTGGAAACTCTGGGGAGTCTTTTTATTTGTGTGCATTTATCTGTGTGTCCCAGGGCCCCTTCAACGATGAGTGGACACACACCCCTGCCCCCCAAACCCAAACTCCTCCTCCCTTCTCCTCCTCCTCCTCCTCCTCCTCCCAAAGCTGGCACGCGCGGGGGAGACTGCGGCCGAGGTGCAACTCCTCAGGCCCACCGCCAACCTTGAACATGGGAGGGAGGGGGGGGGCGTTCACGGCTGGATGTGGCACGAGTGTTCGCTATGTTTTGTCCGAGGCCTGTATGTGCGCGGTGCTAAAAGCGAGAGCCAGTTTGAGGACGACCCGCCCTCCCTCCGCGCGGCGTCTGCGGGGCTCTGCGACGGATTGCGCGCGGCGCAGAGGCGAGAGCCTCGTTTTGAGAGGGGCCTGCCGTCCATCCGTGACGTGCCTGCTGCAAGCCTCGTCAAGCATATCCAGAAATTCGGGGGCGGAAAAGAGGGGTGTGATGACCAGGGGGGGTGGATATCATGGCGCGGGCCATGGCATCTCCGCAGCTTTCATGGCGCCTCTTCTCATTTCATTACGTCCCAGGCCCCCCCGCTGGGCCGCGCACATGCCGCCGGTCATGATTTGCACCCCCCCCTCTTGGACACCCCCCTCTTGGCGGATCCCGAGAAATGGAAGTTGAAATCCTGGAGCACGATGCTTTCGGGCACTTCTCAGAAATGGAAGTTGAAATCCTGGAGCACGATGCTTTCGGGCACTCGTCAGAAAGCGCGTTCTTCAATGCTGAGAGGGCGGGGTCGGAATTTTTGGACAACGCCGCGTCCGAGTCAACAGGAACCCGTCAGCATTGCAGCGGCGCTGACCCCACAATCACCGAATTCAGAGGCCTTCAGTGTACTTTTGACGAGGCTTGTAGCTTCGAGCCACGGGGTCGCGGTGCGGAAGTTCCAGGTGGAACGCCCGGACCGCCCTACAGTCAACCCGCAGAAAGAGGATGAGCATCCTTCCCAAGGACACCCTTGCACTCGCATCCTTGCCCCTTCGGCCCATCCTCGGCCACTTTCGCTGGCCGCGCCCCGCTCGAGAGGCTTCGACATGGCCCTCCAAGGCCCTTGCATCCTTACCGTGCTTCCTCATGATACGGGCTGACCGTACGAGGCGCTTCAGGGTGCGACTGGGAAGAGGTATTTTGGGGAAAGGGGACATTCCAGCCTCGACGATGGGTCCCTGCTGCTAGGCAGGCCACCTTGTCACCAAAGCCTCATCCCAACTTAGGGAACTTTGAACCTTACCTGGAGGGCCGTCCGCTGTGGAGGCGCCAAATCACATCCCGCCCAGCTTTTGTTCCGTCGGCCTTCGGGTCACGAGGGGGGGCAGTCCTGCAGTGCTGCCCACAAGCCTTGCAGTACACAACTCGCTCGTCTCGAGTCGCCAAGTGGTGAGAGGGGTGACAGAACTAATCAAGGGGATGGCCCGACGGGATGCCACAGAGCGCAGATGGCCCGAAGTCGCCGGGCACCTCCTCAAAGTCTCGTTCGGGCCTCCCCTCGCTGTTGGGGCAGAGCCTGCACACGTTGGTGAGTTACACTCTTGGGATTGCAGTATGAAGGCCAAGCATGGGTTAACATTCCTTTTAAAGTAAAGCGTTGTGAACACACAGCCCTCTCCTTGAGAGGGTAGTCGCCAGCCTCACGCATCCTAAAAGTACGTCGTTCAGCGAAAGAGATGGAACAGCCTCTAATGCGACAGAGCTCTCGGTGGCCTTTTTCGCGCACTGTGGAGAACAGGACCTCGCGCTGGATCGCTAGGAGTTGCCCCAAAACTCTGGCCGCGAGCTCCTCATGCCGCAAAGTCTGGCCAGTCGCAACAGCTGCATCGCAAAGCTGTACATCAGACGACACATATTATGTCTCTGGGCCCGGGTGGGGTGTCCTTCCGTCCGGATAGCGTGAAGAGTTCCACCCGCTCTTTAGGCACAGCATGCTATTCAGTCAGGGGTCTAACATGGAGGACTTACGCTTGGCCTTCAGGATCTCACGGGAGCCTTTGACAACCAACAGGCAGTCAAAGCAAATGCAACAATCTCCAACAGTGGTGCGAGCAAGTTGGATCAAGCCATACAACTCGGATCTTGCTGCAGACTGTCTGGCCATAGGCAGCGTCCCCGAGCGGGTAGCATCCACCTGCCCAGACGCACATAAGATTTAGTCGGGCGTGTCCCTCTACGGGAGGGATGGTCAATCATAGTATTAAAAACACCAAAGTAGTCTGGGAACGATATATAGATTGTTTGTCTGAATGTTGCTATCTTTTTTTTCCAAAAAAATGACCTCCAAAATCTGCCTGTAGGGGGACATGCCCGACCTAAACATAAGTGGACCATTGCCCATCGGCACCTTCTCAGACGCCAGTTCCTGGCGTGCTGGCCTGCCCCCATTGCCCGTCCATGCCCCAAGCTCCCTCTTGGAGTCGCGGCCCCTGGGCCAAGCTCCCCCCGTCCTAATGCAGGTCTTGAGGAGGTGGGGACTAGCCTTAAGTCGGGCATGTCCCTCTACAGAGGGAGTATTCAGACATAGTCAAAATCAGTCTGGGAACGATTTAGATTATTTTTCGACTATGTTTGAGCATGTTTTTAGTATTTGCTTTTTTCCAAAATCCGCCTGTAGGGAGACATGCCCGACCTAAGACTAGCTCGTGGAGGCCGACAAGGAAGGGAGACCGCGGGCCCACAAATGGCCAGCCGCCTCAGTGTTCCCGTCCTTTTCTGACTTACGCAATGCAAGAGCCGACGAACCGCAGTGAAGTCAACTCCTTCCTCCGATCCTCGTCCATAACAATGCTGCGATGGCTGCTCCAAGACATGCTGGAACATGACTCCTGAAAAAAAGCTGTCCACAAAACTCGAACAGGAAGCCACCATTTGTGACCCTCAGCTCGGTGATGATGCCAGTCTTCCAGAAAATAGAGGAGACCGGTGGCCATCCTAGTTCCAAGAGAACCGCAATAGTGGCCGAAGTATGCCCAGAAACCACCAGCACTAAACCTTAGAAACACTTGATGGTGTGTTCCCAAGCCTGAGTGCACATCATACGCATTGTTCCCCCAAGCAAGGCTTGCACTTATGAGTTCCTACTTGCGTCAAAGAAGCTGGATGGGTTTGGCGAGGTTTCGCCACGTTTCGCCACCTTGCGGCCCGTTGCCGCCTCGTTGCCACCTCGTGCGCTCTGGCGAGGCTTCGCGACGTTGCCGCACGTTGCCGCCCTAGTGCAGCCTCGTGTGATTGGTGGGTTCGGCGGGGTGTCGTCACGTTTCCGCCCGTGGCCGCCTCGTTGCCGCTTCGTGCGCTGGGTGGGTCTGGCGAGGGTTCGCCGCGTTGCCGCCCGTTGCCGCTTCGTTGCTGCCTCTAGTTTGCACCACGTAGACTCAGAGGAGGAAAACGTACCCATGCCTCTACCCTTCCCTCGTTTTCCCCTTTTTGGGCCTCCTGGGCGGCCCTCGTCACCACCGCTGGACTTGCTTCGAAATTCCTGTCAGGACGCACCCCGGGAGAGGTCCGGGGAGTAGCGATATCCGTACCTTTTGCTCTCCCCGTAGATTGCACCAAACATCTCACACCACACAGCTTGCGCCACATAACCCAGACATCCACAGTGCGATAACGTACTGTTTGGGGTCCACGCTCGCTGTTATGTGATGCAAATCCTCCCACAGAGCCGCGAAGGACTACAACTTCTCATACCGGAGCCTCGCCTGGGGGCAGGGCGAGGACACGTGGAGGAAGAGGGAGGAGGTGGAGGAGGAGGAAGAGGAGGAGGATGAGGAGGAGGAGGAGGAGGAGGAGGAGGAGGGAGGAGGAGGAGGAGGAGGAGGAGGAGGAGGAGGAGGACGAGGAGGAGGAGGAGGAGGAGGAGGAGGAGGAGGAGGAGGAGGGAGGAGGAGGAGGGGGGGGGGGGGGGAGGCGGCGGCGGCGGCGGCGGCGGAGAAGGAGAAGGAGAAAGAGCGGCAGCACGGGCGGGCCCACAGGAGCAAGCGGCGGGGTACCACAGCGAGCTGCTCGCAAGCGCAAGGCAACGCTCCGAGGACACGCCCGGCCCCTATCCTTCCTCCTCCTCCTCCTCCTCCTCCTCTCCTCCTCCTCCTCCTCCTCACTCCTCCCATCCCTCCTCCTCCTCATCCTTCCTCCCCCTCTCACCTCTTCCTCTCCCTCTCCCTCTCGCCCTCCCCCCTCCTCCCCCCTTCAGTGCTACCCCTTCTCCCCTGATCCTACTCTGTCTGGAAGATGTCCCGCCCTCTCACGCGCAGGATTTCATTGTTTGGTCTTTCCGATCGTTGTTTTCCCATAGAAACGTTCTCGGTGTCTCTTAATCATGTTCTTGCTTTAGCGTGGGCCTCATCTTTGCATCGACGCTTCGCTCCTGTCGTTCAGAATGGCGTTCTCGCCCCGGCGCGGGCCACGCTTCTGGATCCGAATCCTTCCTCAATGGTGTCGCCCCCTCTCCTTTTCCGCTCTTCCGCCTTTCCCTGGCCCTTTTGCTTGTTCCATCCCAGCTGTTGCTTCAGCTGTTCGTCCTCGTCCTCCTTCATCTTCCCCCTCGTTCCCCCGGGCCCAAGCTCGGTGCCCATGTTGGCTCAACGTTTCCGGCTTTCTTGGGAGCAGTGTGGATACCGCTGGCCCGCGGCAGTGTTCAATTCTTGACGCTTTTCGGTTCGGCCCGCGGCTGGCGCTTCCGCGCACTTCCTGGGCATGCTCTTCGCTGGCGCGGGCCGTCGTTTGGTTCCTCTGCCCGCTGGTTCATGATCGCGGTTTTCCATGCCCGCTCCTGGCGGGTTCACGACCTCCGTCGCCTGGCATCTGATGACGTGGGATTCAGGCCACACGCTTGCTCGTTTTGTTTATGTTTTATTAGTCACCCCAAATCCGCCTGAAGGGGGACAGGCCCGACCTAGACCTACGCCCAGAGGGCTGGCGGGAGGGAGTGCCTCATTACTCATTCCTTGACAAGGACGAAGGATTTTGAGACGGATGCTCGCGGCGCCAAGGCGAAGGACACGATTGGAAAAGGGATCACCCTCCATCCACCAAGCAATGGCAAATCGTGGGGACGAATGTTAGCGGCGTTAAGGCGACAGCCACATGTTGAAAGCGACCCTCCCGATCCATCCGTGAAGTTGCTGCGAACGGTGAAGACGAATGTGTCCGGCGCGCATGCGGTGACCACATGTTGAAACCACGTTCCCCGCCATCCGTAAAATTGAGGAGGAGGAGGCGCAAATGTTTCAGATGAGTGCACGCAAATATTTTGTAAAAGGGACCGCCCTCCATCCTTCAAGCTGTTGTAAACTTAATGAACGTGCGCGGCGCCCCCCCCATCCCCCCATCCGTCCAGCTGCTGCACGCGGTGAGGACGAAGACGCGCGGCGTTAAGGCGAGTGTACCATGTGGACAACGAGCGGCTTCCGAGGGCATTCAGGGACTTCAGGGATCGCTGCCCACGATGCCGAGAAAAAGGGGTCGCGGAAACCCACTCGTGGCCGAGGCGTGCCGTGGCCAGACGAGCCCATTCATTCCTTGTCCTGCGCTGCAGGGTTAGTGCCATGACAGCATGAGAAATCCAGGGGCGCACGTGCCGCACAATCTAGAAAGACAGTCAATGACAGGAAGAGGAGGAGGAGGAGGAGGAGGAGGAGGAGGAGGAGGAGGAGGAGGAGGAGGAGGAGGAGGCGGAGGCGGAGGAGGAGGAGGAGGGAAGGAGGAGGAGGAGGAGAGGAGGAGGAGGAGGAGGGGAGGAGGAGGAGGGGGGGGGAGGAAGAGGAGGAGAGAAGGAAGAGGGAGGAAGAGGAGGAGGAGGAGGAGGGGGAGGGGGAGGAGGATGATGAGGAAGAAGAGGAGGAGGAGGAGGAGGAGGAGGAAGACAAGTACACGACACCCACAATCTAAGGGCACAGTGCGATGACAACACCGCGTCCTGAGAGGCCTGCCCCGCCCACCTCTCCAGGAGCGCGCGGCGTCGCACCACGAGCTGGACGTCCTGCGCGCTCGCCTGCAGGAGCGCAAAGGGGGGGCGTGGTCGGCGCGGGCGCGGCACGGCCGTGCTCTCTGTTGGAAGGGCAGAAGCGGCATACAACAGATAAAGTTTCCGAGCTCCTCGCGCACGTCCTGGATCGACGCTTGGCCCTCGGAACCAGCGCGTCGCGAGTGCTGACGCAAAGTAGACCCCGGCGTCGCCGCCGGCGCCGCCCTTGGGCATCCAAGGAGTCCGCGCGGACTCCTGGAATTTTATGTTCATGAAGTTGGTATTGTCAAAGTTGTAACTGTAATGGGCAGGCCTTCAAACGCAATTCAAGAGATCAGCTTGGAAATTCAATTAAGTCTGGGGTGTTCCACACAGGGCCTCGCCTAGGAGGGATCGGGAGATTGACAGATCTTCCCCAGCGGAAGGCTGTCGAACTAACAATTTGTTTCGCCTGCGTATCCGCACCAGCCCATCCAAAAACAATCGCCAGGCAAGTTGCTCTGGTGAGGGAAGCGTAGCAGCATGCAATGCAGGAGTAAACCGCATCCGTCTTCGCGAATGGTTCGAAAGAGGAGGAGGAAACGGAGGTGGAGGAGAGAGAAGGGAGGGAGGGGCATGAGGAGGAAGGATAAGGCAGGAGGAGGCAGGAGCAGGTAAGAGGAGATAGGGAATGAGTGGCGGATATAGGAGGAGGTAAGGGGAGGTAGGAGGAGGTAGGAGGAAGCGAACACGCAGTGTTGCACAGGGGAAGACGACGACGACGACGACGACGACGACGACGACGACGACGACGACGACGACGACGACGACGACGACGGTGGCGACGGTGACGACAGGAGTAATCCATCAAGGATTACGCGGGTCTTTCGCTCAGGGAGCCTTTGGGAGGCCTCCCGGGGTCATGTTGGAGCCCTCTTGGGGCAATTTTTGGAGGCCTGTGAGGACCCCGAGGGGCCATCAAAATCGGAGGCCGAAGAATTGTCTCTTGGGATCGTCTTGTGGCACTCTTGGGGAACTCCTGGGCGCTCTTTGGGCCGTCTCGGGGCCCTCCCTGGCCCCTCCTGGGGCTCTCTTGGGCCATCTTGAAGCCATCCCGAGGCCTCAGAAGCCCACCGGAAGCGAGCTGGCGAGAATGCAACAACCAGCGGTTTCCTGCTGGTTTGGGGGCAGGATGCGGGCCTCTCGGGGGCGTCCTTGTGAGTCCCTTTGGCCACTTGGAGTCGTCATGGGGCGATCCTGAGACTTATCGGAGGTAGGGAGCCATCTTGAGCCATGTTGGGCTATCTTTAGCGAACTTGGAGGCCATCTTGCGCTCTCTGAGGCCCTCTTGGGGCCGTCTTGGATGCTCCAACGATTTGCGAAACCCCTGTCCAGGCTCAGGGCAGGGGGTATGGGGAGGGGTCAAGCTACCCACCCGCCCGCAAACCGTATAGCTCATTCCCACCCGCCCTCCCAACACATACGTAACACCCGAGCCTGAGCATGTTCAGCGGTCGTCTTGGATGGACAGCTTACTGGGAACCAAAGCCGACCCCAGGCGCGCGACGCTTTGGCGAGGTGCGCCACGCGTGCCAGGGGCGTCACCCGCGCCAGGCACCCCTGGGGCCCGAGCGTGCCAGGCACGCCTGGTGCGCCGGATGCGGCACGTGCTCCGAGTGCGCCAGGTGTGCCGCACACTCTAGCCGCGCCATTTGCGCCATGTTCGGGGCACGTGCAGAGTGCGTCAGGTGCGCCTGCGCACGTGACAGCACACATCGGAAAACATGTTGGCCCCCGCCATATCCTTGTCGAGAACCAATGTTCATCATTGTGTGTGGTGGGCCTGCGCACAGCAGGCCACGCGCCACAACCCCCGCCGTCCCTGTCAAGAACAATTTGACAGTGATCGCGGGATGGCTGCGCATGATCCAGATTCAGCCGCGAGGTGCATGTTGTATTGTTAGTTTTCCTTTTGTCAGGGATGGTAGCCCTGCGCACGGCAGGGAATATGCTGGCACCCCCGCCGTCCCTGTCAAAAACCATACAAAGTGTTCGCGGGCCTTACGAACATGACTCAAGATTTTACCCCGAAATGTATTGTGAATTGTTTGTTGACAGGGATGGTGGGGGGGCCGCATCGGGTTGGCCGCGCATGTTCCAGATGTCGAGGCAGAGTGCGGTTTGTATTGTTTTTTGGCAGGGATGGTGGGGGGCGGGTGGTCACGGTGTCAGCATGGTTCCTGGTTGGCCCCCGGTCGCCTGGGGGAGGGGGTGTATATAAAGAAGGGCCAGTGATGAAGACAACCTCCCCGCCCGCAAGATGTCCCGCTCACTCCCACCTGCCCTCCCAACACATAAGTAGAACCCGAGCCTGAGCATGTTCAGCGGTCGTCTATGGATGGACACCTATTGGAGACCAGAAAAAGACCACACGTGCGCGACGCTGGGGCGAGTGCTCCACGTGTGCCAGGCGGGCCTGGCGCGCCAGATGCGCCACGTGCTCCACGTGCGCCATGTGTGTCGCATGGTCCAGCCGCGCCAGATACGCCACTTTCGGGGTACGCGCAGAGTGTGCCAGGTGCGCCTGCGCACGTGAGAGCACACATCGGGAAACATGGTGGCCCCCACCATCCTTGTCGAGAGCCCATGCACAATCGTTGCGGGGAGGCCATCATGGTGCCTGGTGGGCCTGCGCACAGCAGGCAATATGCCAGCCCCCCACCGCCGTCCTGAGCATAAACCAATGGACAGTGATCGCGGGGTGGCCGCGCATGGTCCAGGTTTAGCCGCGAAGTGCATGTTGCATTGTTTTTAACATGGATGGAGGCCTTGCGCACAGCAGGCAATATGAGGGCCCCCCCGCCGCCCCTGTCCAAATATGATGCAAAGTGCTTGCGGGGCCCACGAGCATGACCCGAGATGCTGCCCAAAAGTTATTTGTTTGACAGGGCTGGTTGGGCGTGGGTGTCATTTGTCCTGGCTCGCTGCCGGTCGCCTGGAGGAAGAGGTGTTTACAGATACGGAATAGTGATCAACATTTGAGGCTCTTAACGTTGGAATTTGACACGTTTAGCCATGACTGCGTGGGTGTTATGCACGTTTGCCCATTTGGGGTAACGCTGAGCTGTGGGCAAAAACAACAACTGGATGTGCAAATGTTGTAGCCAAATGTAGACACGAATTAGTCACGGTTCATCTGCTTAGTCCGAGCATGCGCGCGTGCCTTGGAGCCAAAGCTCATCGTTGATGATGCGTGTCATCACCGACCATTCTGCGCGGTATGTCATACACGTCGTGCCCACGATGCGTTTTTGTTGACAACAGTATCTAGGGTTCGTGTGTTCAAGTAACTAGCTCTCTGTGCGTTTCCACCACCATCTCTCTCTTCCTCTCTCTTTCTTTCTATCGCTCTCTCCCTCTCTCTTTCTTGATCTCCTCTTCCCGTTCTTGCTCATCCTCCTGCTCCTGCGGTTGCTGCTGCTGCTGCTCCTCCTCCTCTTCCTCCTCATCATCATCCTCTTCCTTGGTCCCAACAGCGGTGCTGTTTCATGGAAACACCTGAATGCCGAGCTCGGGAAGCGCTTCGCCCACGTCAAAAGATTGAAGATGGGACCGGCGGCTAGTATCGCTGCCCACAATATGATTGGTTTCTCTGTCCCCATGTTCGTTGGTCAGTTCCTCCCACCTCCTCCGGAAGTTTTTCGGGTTCTACAAGAAGGCCTCCAGTCCCTTACCAATTGTTCCAGGCACGCTCTCCCGCCCAAGCTGAGATGATACGAGGAGGGACAGGGAGGGTGGAGAATGCGGGGAAGAGCGAGGAGGAGAAGGACGAGGGAGGAGAAACTGGAGAAGAAGGAGACACGAATGATGAGGAGGAGAAGAGGGAGGAGGAACGAGGGGAAGAACGGGGAGGGATGCGGAGCAGGCAACCACCCCCTACCCTCTCCCCTCCCTTACCTTTCCATGTTCCCTCCCTACTCCATCCCTTCCTCACCCTCTCCCTTCCCTCTCGCCCCTCCTTTCCCTCTCCCCTCCCTCTCCCTCCCTCCCCTTCCCCCCCATCCCTTCCTACGCCCTCCCTCCCTCCCCCTTCCCTCTCCCTCCCTCTCCCCCCCCCCATCCCTTCCTACGCCATTCCTCTCCCTCTCCCTCTCCCTCCCTCCCTTCTCCTGCTGCAGGCGAAGAGGGGAGGCAGGGCAGAGAGCAGAAACGAGGCGAGGCAGCCAGACGGGAGGAGACAAGGCGGAGGAAGGGAGGACCAAGACACGGCGTGAGCGTGCGTGTGCTGCGCCGCCGCAGCTGCGGCCGCATCCCCCCCCTCACCCTCGGGCTTGGCATCGTCCGGACGTGTGCAGTTTTCTCGGCGAGGACCATCGGGGAGCATCTTGGATTCTGGGCCTCCCAGATGGGGTCGGAGGATCGCGCCGCATCGCCGATGCATCGGCGACGCGGCTGGATGTGGAGCCCGATTTGCTTCACGCCGTCGTCGCCGACTTCGACGGTGCATCGCCGATGCGTCGGCGATGTGGCTTGATCCTCCGACCCCATCTACTCCGACCCCAGTCAGGAGGCCTCTATGGATCATCTGGGAGAGAGGAAGTATATTTGTTGTTGTTTGCTTTCTTTTTTCTTACTTGAAAAAACGCGCACGCAATCGACGAGTGCACGGAGAACAGACGTCCGAGCGATGGCGAGCGGGGCGGCGGGGCGGCGAGCGAGAACCCGGGGGCCCAGGAGCTCTGGGCACTCTGCAGAGCCCCCGACGTGGAAAAGCGGGGGCGGCCTGGACCGCCACGGGGGAAGGCGGGTCCCGAGGGAAAGAATCACACACAGACACAATCGGGCGAAGAGAACTATGCACATGCACCGATCCTGACAACGCCCATCCTTGGCCCAGGATCGGCGCATATATACCTTGCTGGCCAAGGTAAGAGGGCGTATGCACGGATCCTGGGCTCAGGATGGTCCTGGTCAGATTCGGTGTATGTGCATAGTTCTTTTTCCTCTACACAGTTGATCGTCGACTCCCAGGAAGAAGATGGGACACAAATATGGGGGAAGTGGGTGGGAAGACGAAGACCCAGAAACATGGAAAATATATAGGGAATCCTGCTCTTTGTGTCTATTTATTTGCGTGTCCCTAGGCCCCTTCAGAAGCAGGTCCTGAGGGAAACGGGTCCTGCGGCGTCTCGCCGGCTTCGGGCCCTCGGGGCCTTCCTTGGGAGTGTCAGGAAACGGCTCTGGATGGAAAGCTAGTTTTGAGTCGGGTCTGCCCCACTACAGAGGGAATATCCAAAAGTAGTCAAAAAATAGTCAGGGGTTGATTTGTTTGACAATCTGTTATCCGTAAGGGCTTCGCCCTCTGCCGCCGACCCCCTCTCCATCAGAACTGGACATATCAGAGCTGTTTTGGGATGTCTGGGCGCCGATTTGAAGACATCTGGGAGCGTCATGCGAAGACGGCTGGCAATGAACAAAACATTTTGAGATGTTGGAGCTGTTGTCGAAGGGTTCATTGCCTTCTCAGGGCGTTTCCCGCTTCTTGTGTATTGGGCGCCCTCTTGGAACAACCGGGGTTGCATGGTGTCATCTAGGGATATAGTGGCGCGTGGCGTTATTCTCGAAGACTTGCGGCTGCGGGTACAGCGCGGAATTTAAGAGACAGCGGGGGAGTCGAATGGCGCATGCCGAAACATGTTTCAAAGAGAAAAAAACTTGTCCTTCCGATCTAGAGAAAGGGTGCCGCTTGAGGGCAGCCTCTCGGGGCTGGGTGCGTAGCTTCGGAAGGGTGGATTTGGTGTAAGTTACAAGGGATGGTGGCGTCGGGGGCGCGAACATGGTGTAATTTACAAGGTAACGGGGTCTCGGAGGCGCGAGCGTGGCGTAATTTACAATGGATCGTGGTTTCGGGGGCTTGAACATGGCGTAATTTATAAGGGTCATGGCCGCGGGGACGAGGATGTAATGTAATTTGCCTGGCGTGGCTTCGGGGGGGGGGGTAATTTTTTGTGATTTAGGAAGATGGCGGCTTCGGGGGCGCGAGCGTGGCGCGATGCTACGGGGATTGTGGCCTCGGGGCGCAATTTACAAGGGGTCGTGGCTTCGGGGGCACGATCGTTGTGTAATTTACGAAAGGGTCGTGGCTTCGGGGGCGCGAATGTAGCACAATTTACGGGGGGTCGTGGCCTCGGAGGCGCGAATGTTGTGTAATATACTAGGGATCGTGGCCTCGGTGTCGCGGATTCGGCGTAATTTACGAGAGATCGTGCTTCGGCGGCGCGAAGGTGACGTAATTGCTTCGGAGTCGTGAGCGTGGTGTAATTTACGAAGGGGTCGTGGCCTCGAGGGAGCGAATGTAACACTATTTACGAGGGGTCGTGGCCTCGGAGGCGCGAATGTTGCGTAAGTTACGAGAGATCGTGGCCTCGGGGGCGCGACTGTATGCGTAATTTACAGGGTGGTCGTGACCTCGGGGGCGCGGATTCGGCGTAATTTACAAGAGATCGTGGCCTCGGCGGCGCGAAGGCGATGTAATTCACGATGGATCGTGGCATCGAGTGCGCGAATATGGCGTAATTTACAAGGGATCGTCGCCTCGGAGGCCCGAGTGTGATGTAAATAACGAGGGGTCGTGGCCTCGGAGACGCGAACATGGTGTAATTTACCAGGGATCGGGGCCTCGGGGGCGCGAATACAGCGTAATTTGCAAGAGATTATAGCTTCGGGGGCACGAATCTCCTGTATCTTTACGTGTCCCACGCCCCCCCAGGAACTCTGAGAACCCTCCCGGGGGACGCTGACCAGGGCCCTGTTCGCCCCCCCCCTCGCGCGGACAGTAACAATTTACAGTAGGAAGCAGAAAGCAATACTGTAACACTGGAAACTGGAACCTGGAACGGGCGCAGGGAACAGCAACCTTAATCCTCGCAGTGGCCCCCAAGGGGGCCGGCGGATCATTTTGGAATATGTGTTGCCTATGTTTTATTTTTCGTCCAAAATCCGCCTGTAGGAGGACACGCCCGACCTAACCCTCGGGGCTTTCCACGGGCCCCGGGACTGTCAGGAAACGGCTCAGGATGGGAAGCTGGTCTTGGGGGAAGGCCCCGAGGTCCGGGACCCGTTTCTCTCAGGACCCATTCCCCCATGCCGACTGGACTTCGGCGCCGCGCAGGCCACGTACGGCGGGGGCGTTCCTTAGGGAACGTGCCCGGGAGGCTTCTCAGGCCCGGGGTGGGGCCCTTATCTGACGAGGGCGGCGGCGATGTCCATGGCCAATCCACGATTGGCTGTCCACTGGCTTCCAGACCCTGGATTCCTGATCGAAGGTTTCCTCCGGCGCGGGCCCGGGGCCAGGCGGCGCGGGAGGCGAGGGCCGCGGCGGGCGTCTGGGTGACGACTGCCCATGAGGGCGGCTAGCGTGGGACACGCAAAATTGCACGAATTCGCTCACGGGCCGCGCGGCCCTTGAAGAGCAGACTGCCCCAACACCGCAGCTGGGGAGCACCCCCCCCCGGGGCGCGCGGCCAGGCCAACGCAGTGCGCGCCTGCTGCGTGAGCCCGCGCTCCTCGGAGAGGGGGGGGGTCTCCATGCTCGGCGGGAGGCGTCGCGGGATCGCTTCCACGAACACACCGTGGCCAAGTGGCCCATGCCCGCCCCGTGCGGGCGGGTGGCAATGGGCTTGGCATCGCTCGGACGTGTGCGTTTTTTTCCTCGGCGAGGACCATCGAGGAGCATTCTTGATCACTTGGCGAAGAAACCGCGCACGAAACCGAACAAAACACAGGGAATGGACGTCCGAGCGATGGCCAGTGGGGTGTGGCCAAGATGGGGGGGGGAGAAATCGACCTCGGAGGGGCCCTTTGGGGCCCATTTTGGGCCCCAGCTGGCTCCGTAAGGGCCCCAACGTGCCTCTTGAGGGCCCTCCTTCTTCACCCCTCAATTTGACGCCACCCCCCATACTCCTACCCCTCCCCTCCTCCTCCTCCTCCTCCTCCTTCTCCTTATCCAACCGCCCGACCCGTCCTCGTGCTCCACAGAGTCAAGGTCCTCCAGGGTGCCCCGCACGGTGTCTACAGGCAACGAGCCTCTTCCCGCCGAGCTCCTTGGGGTGCTGCACGGCGCATTCGCCCTGCGCGCCGGACAGACATGGCATTTTCATGCAGGGCGGCGCGGACGTTGCTGCGCCGCTCTCGCCCGTGGTATCGTAGATGTCGTTCCGACCTTCTATCGTGCGTCCCGGGTAGTCCTCCAGGCTGATCCATTCGTCCCCAGATCTCGAGGTGTGGAAGCGCATCTTCTGGGTGGGCTTCCTTGTCAACTTCTGATCGCCCTTGCCACGGGCCTCGATGCCACTGGCTTCGAGCACAGGAAAGGTCGTCATTGACCAGAACGGTACGTCGCACACGCTGGTAATGTAATGGTGCTCGTGTCGCTGTTGTCACTGGTCATGGTCTACACGAAAGCGCTTCAGTCCCGTGCTTGTTCACCTCGCTGACCATCTTCTGGACCTCGATGCTGGTCTTCTCCTCCTGCTTGGAGCTCTCGCTCGTGTCGATGCACATCTGGTCGGCCACCATCTGTGCCTCGATAATGATATTAACCTCGAGTTGGGCGTTTTCGTTCGTGTCGATGGTGTCCCCTGCAACCGACTCCTCTGGGATGGCCGCGCAGTCCTCCTATGAAGAGCGGCGCGTGTCGCGCCCGCAGCCTTGGCCTTGTGGTCGGCTCCTCCGAACTGTCGTCCTTCTCTTGCATCTGCTGCACTCCCTGGTGCTTCACCTCGAACGTGCTCCTCACGACGGGCCCATTCCAGGGGCAAGATCGCAGGACTTCTGGAAGGTCGCGCGCAGGGCTCCGCGCCTCGCGTCCGTGCCTGGCGCGAATGTTCCAAGGCATTTTCCGCCAGTCCCGAAGGAGTGGAACTCTACCTGGGTGCCGCCGTCCGCCTACGGCACCAGAGAGGGGCTTGCTCCTGGGGCAAGCAGCACTGCCTGCCTTTCGAGCCCACGGCTGTGGCAAGCTCACCCCCCCATCAGGAGGGGGGTCGAGCCGGAGTCAACATGGCTACGGGGCGGAGGGAGGGGGAGGACCGGGAGGAGGACGAGAACGATTGAGAAGGAGGAGGAGGAGGAGGAGGAGGAGGAGGAGGAGGAGGAGGACTTGAGATAGGGTGGTCTGGCTCTGGGGCGCCCTAAGCCAGTCACTGGCCCCAGAGGAGGAGGAGGAAGAGGAGGAGGAGGAGGAGGAGGAGGGGGAGGCACAAGGAGTAGGAGGAGGAGGAGGAGGAGGAGGAGGAGGAGGAGGCGAGCGTGGTGCGCTCGGCCCCCGCGGCACGGCCGCGACCGCGTCAGGCGGAGCAGGCCACGGAGAGCCCGGGCCAGCAGGAGCGCGCAGGGAGCGAGCGCGGCGCAGTGGGCAGTGGGCAGTGGGCTCACGCTGCGGGGGTCGGCGCCGACGGGGGTCGGCCAACCTTCGGCGCCCCCCGGCATGCTAATACAGTCGGGGCCCTGAAGAAGGAACCCTTTTCGTTGGGGAGGGGCTCCGCGTTCCTTAAGTGTTTCACAGCTTGCCTCAGGTTTTCCTTGTGTTTCCGATAGGAAATCGAAGTTTCACTTATGGAAACAATGGGCCTCGTTCCTTGTTTAGGGTTCCTTAGGTCAACGCCCCGACTGTACCATGTGTGCGGGGAACACCACATGCGTCGCTTTCTGGCCACACCGCTCGGGGAACGATATACTACAGTATGGTCGTGCTGCATGTTCGGGTCGGGCGCGCGCCCCCGAGGAGGACATGTAGTGCTAGTATGTCCTTGTGCGTCTCAAATCTCCCCTGGCTGAACCCGGCTGAAGAGCCACGTGGGGTGTTCCAAGAAGGGCCTCGCCTTCGAGGATCGCACAACAAGTTGCCATCTTGTCCTCGGCGGAAGGAGAGCGGGGGCGGCACCGCTGGCAGGAAGCCCGCCGGCGCGGAAGCACTAATCACCCCCCCAAGAGGTGACAACATTTTGGCCGCAGAGTTTCGGAACTCGCCACGTGCGGCCGCTGGACACCTTTCCGCCCTCCGCCGGCCCGAGCATAGTTGCCGTTGGGCGACCAGCCGGGCTTCGCGACAGAGCCCTCTGGCCGGCCCCGGCTTGGGCCGACCCGGGCTGGTGCGTCCCCGAGGTGGGGGATTGGAGGGCGCAGCACAACGGGGCGGGGGATCGAGGGATGCGGGAAAGGAGCCTCAAAGGTGCTTTACTGGGGCTTCGGAGGTGCACGCCCAGCGGGATCGGGAGGGGGGGGTCGGCCACCCGGGGAACGAGGCAGGGACAACGTTGCGGGGTCCAGCTCAGGGGGGAACGTATCGGCCCCCGAGCGCCTGGGCCCCAGTGGCACCGTCCACATGCGTCCGCCACACCCACTGCGGCACACTTCTCAAACGCTTCGTGGCCCCATAGGGAGCTCCACCCAAGGCCGCAGCGGCACCGTCCACATGCGTCCGCCACACCCATGTCGGCACACCCCTCACACGCCTCGTGGCCCCAGAGCTCCACCGAAGATGAGATTCACGACTGCAGTGCTCACAGCTGCATATGGTTGGCTCCTTCGCCAGGCTAAGTTGAAACGAATGCGCGCGGCGCTATGGCGAGAGTAACATTTTGAAAACCACCCGCCCTCCATCCGTGAAACTCTTGCAATGTTATTCAACATATTCCTCTTCCTGTATTTTTATAAGCCCAGGCGGGGGGAAAACCCATCCCCCCCCCCCCAAAACCGGACTCCCGGGATCTGGGGCTTTGAGACCCTCCGGACGGGCCTCGAAGCGGCCCCCCTGGCCTCGCAGGGCGTTTTGCCAAGCCTTCCCAGCACACCTAGGGCGATCAGGGGGGTCATCGGAGACGTTTCAGAGACCACCATGACAGCGCAAGAGCGCTCCAAGAGTGACCGACGTGACCTCAAGATGGCCCAAGAGGCCTCCAGGACGGCCCCAAAGAGGCCTCCAAGAGCACTCCCAAGAGGCAAAAATCATGGATGTTCTGGTAGTGTTTGGTGAATTTTGGGGTTCTCCTCTTTTCGGCTTCCCGACGCTCCAAGACGGCCATCTTCTGGGCGTCCGAAGCCACCTGGGAGGCTCCAAAATCGCCCCACAACCATCCGAAAGGGCTTCCAGGCAGTCCAAGAGAGCCCCAAAACGGCACAACACGGGTCCAAGATGGCCCTCAGAGAGCCCCATGGCGGCCCAAGACGGCCCCAAGACACCCTCCGAAGCATTCCAAATCGTGACCCGGTCGTTCAGGGAGACCGTGGTTGGAGGCAGGGTGGCCCGAGGAAGCCCCCAGAGGCCCCCAAAATACGCCCAGGAGGCTTCCAGAAGGCCTCCAGAAAGCCTTAAGAAGGCCTTAAGAAAGGCCCCCAGAGGCTCTCCCAGGAGGAGCCTCCGCAAAAAAAAGCTGAGGAGGATAGGGAGAATGCGCAGGGTATGGCGAACATGAGGAAAAAGAAGCATGGAGGAAGGATAACGAAACACGGAGGAAGGATAACGAATATCATTATCATAGCGGCGATGCCGGAAAAGGCAACAAGAAGTTATTATCGCTAAATTGTCGGCTTGATCTTCCTGCTATTCCGCCTGCAAACCAAACTTCAAGGACCAAGGTGCATGGCGCAAAGCGCCACTGCAGTCTTGTATGTGTGTATATATATATATGTATATATATATATATATAAAAATGCGCGCGGCGCTAGGGCGCGACGCCATTTGAAGACGACCTGCCCTCAATCTGGGAAACTCTTGCACTTGTTTCCCAATCATCATTGTGGTGTTGGGTTCCTGTTTTGAAGAGACGGTGGCCCGCGTTTCTCCTCCTCTTCCCACCCTCCGCCCGCTCCTCCCTCCTCCCGTCACCCCCCTCACTCTGGCACACAGCTCACACTGTTCGTAGCCGCATGCGGAGCTCCACCGAAGGCTCCAGTGATACAGCCCGCATGCGTCCCCCCCTCACCAGTACAGCGCTTCGTGGCCCCATTGGGAGCTCCACCGAAGGCCCCAGTGCTAGAACCCGCATGTGCCCCCCCACTCAGTACAGCGCTTCGTGGCCCCATAGGGAGCTCCACCGAAGGTCCAAGTGCTACCACCCGCATGCGTCCTCCCCCCACCCAGTACAGCGCTTCGTGGCCCCATAGGGAGCTCCACCGAAGGCCCCAGTGCTACCACCCGCATGCGTCCTCCCCCCACCCAGTAATGCGCTTCGTGGCCTCATAGGGAGCTCCACCGAAGGCCCCAGTGCTACCGCCCACATGCGTCCCCCCCACCCAGTACAGCGCTTCTTGGCCCCACAGGGAGCTACCGAAGGTCCTAGCACTACCGCCCGCATGCGTCTCGTCCACCCAGCACAGCGCTTCGTGGCCCCATCGGGAGCTCCACGACGGCCCCAGTGTTACCGCCCGCTGCTCCCGCCCCCCCAGTACAGCGTTTCGTGGCCCCGTTGGGAGCTCCACCGGCGACTGCAGTGCTACCGCTTGCATGCGCCCCCCCACCCAGTACAGCGCTTCGTGGCCCCGTAGGGAGCTCCATCTGAGGTCTCAGCGCTACCGCCCGCATGCGCCCCCCCCACCCAAGGTAGCGCTTCGTGGCCCCGTAAGGGAGCTCCACCGAAGGTCCCAGTGCTACAGCCCGCGTGCGGCCCCCCACCCAGTACAGCGCTTCGTGGCCCCATTGGGAGCTCCACCGACGGCCCCAGAGCTACCGCCCGCATGCGCTCCCCCCACCCAGTACAGCGTTTTGTCGCCCATAGCGAACTCCACTGGCGGCGCCAGTGGTACCGTGCACCGTCTGCATGCGCTTCTACACCCCAGTACAGCGTTCCGTGGCCCTATCGGGAATTCCACCGAAGGCTTCAGTGGCACCTTCCGCATGCGTTTCTCCCACCCAGTACAGCGCTTCGGTGGCCCATAGGGAGTCATCGAAGGCCCCAGTGGAACCGTTCGCATGCGTCTCGTCCTCCCAGGACACCGCTTCATGGCCCCAGAGGGAGCTCCACCGAAGGCCCCAATGACAAAGTCCACATGCGTTTCCCCTATGCAGCACATTCGTGGCCCCATAGGGAGCTCCGCCGAAGGCCCCAGTGGCAAAATTCACCCCCACCCAGTACAGCGTCTCGTGGCCGCATGGGGAGCTCCATTGGATGCCCAAGAAGCAAGGTTCGCACGGGTCCCCCCACCCAGTACAGCGTTCGTGGTCCACAGGGAGCTCCAACGAACACGATACCCACAACTACGGGACTCACAACTGCAATGGCTGGGTCGTTCGCCAGGCTAATTTGAAACGAATGTGCGCGGCGCTAAGGCGATGGTAGCTCTGGCAAAGTTTGAAAACGAATGTGCGTCGCGTTAAGGTGAAAGCAGCATTTTGAAGACCATCCGCCATCCATCCGTGAAGCTGTTGACAC